TGCATGTGTCATGCGCTCAGTTTTTTCTGTTATTTGGCCAAAATACCATATTATAAAAGATTCAGAGCTTCGCACAAGCTATTTGACTGTGACTTGACAACAAGTGCTAAGCAGCTCGCTGCTCTAAATAAAATAATTTGGATGATGACTGGTGATTTTTTTTGTGTATATGTTAATGACATTAATTAGGAGCTGTTTACAAGCAGAGAGCTGAAACCAACGAAACAGAGGCATACGTGCATATCTGAGAAATGATCTTAAGATCAGATTTAGGATGGTTTCTGCACCACCTTACCGTGGTGCATCATGTTTTAAAACATTTGGAGGATCCAAAGGCTTATGCCAGGTTGCTTTTTCTCGACTTGAGCTCTGCTTTTATTACCGTGAAGCCACACTTTATGCTCTCCAAACTAAATAGTATGGCTGTTAATCCATATTGCATTAAATGGTTCCATGCATTTCTTACGAATAGGACTCAACAAGTTAAAATCAAGCAGACTTATTAGTATTGGTGTTCCCGAGGGGTATGTTTGTTCACCACTCTTATTTACATTGTACACAAATGAATATATGAGTCACCATCCGGGGAATATTGTCGTTAAATATTCAGATGATACTGCCATTCTTGGTCGTTTGTACAAGGATGAGGACCTTCAGTGTTACACTACAGAGATTGCTGACTTTGTGTTATGGAGTAAAGAACATAGTCTTGTAATTAATGTTAGTATAACAGAGGAAATTATCTTTGATTTTAAATCAGTAGGCAATCACTCACCTATCTTGATTAACAACAAGCCTGTTAGACAGGTTGCATCATACAAATATTTCGGGACCCTTCTCATGTGCTTCAGTGAGAATTTGAATTACTTCCATCTAGTCGACGTTTTCATATTCCGATGTCTAGATATTACCGTTATAAAAACTATTTTGTTCCTTTGGCTACAAGGCTGTTAAACTCTGAAACTTAACATCCATGGAACCTTTACATTCTTTATAGAGGAAAAGGTTCTTTAGATTACAAAAAAATGTATTTTTTAAGAATATTTGGGGAACCAAAAATGGTTCTTCCGTGGCATCGCTGGAAAAAAACTCCCTCGTAACCTTTATTTGTATGATGTTCAATTATTCATCCATATGATCTTCTTGATCTTTTTGACATCCTCTTATACCTGAAAGAAAGACAAAACTGATTTATATGCTGTGCAGTCTGTGGCATTCTGAGTGTTGATTCAGGGTTTGTACAGATACTGTAAAATGACTTTCAAGGACTTTTCACTGCTTTTTGGTTTTCAGGGACTACAATCAGTATGGAATCTTGTTTCCACTATAAACAAAAAAGAAAAAAAGAAATGAAAAGGTAATATTGACTTTTTCCTCACAATTTTGACTTTTTTCTTTCGCAATTGCCAGTTTTTATCGTGCAATTCTGACTTTATAACGCAATTTTTTTTCAGAAACTCACAATTGTCAGTTGTTATATAACGTCGAAATTGCAAGAAAAAAGTCAAAAACTCACAATTCTGATGTTTTTCTCACAATTGCATGTTTTTATTATGCTGACTTTATCACAATTTTGACATTATAACACGTAATTTTGACTTTATAACAATTCTGACCTCATATCACGCAATTTTGATTTTATATCATGCATTCTTTATAACTCACAATCGTGAGTTTATATCTCGCAATTCTGACAATTGCAATGACCTTTTTTATTTCATGAAATTACATTTGTGTTTAATTGGAAAAAACAACAACAATAATTTTGTATATTCTGTCTTTCGAGAATTCAAGCACTTTTCAAGAACCTCTTCATAAATATGTCTGTTTTCAAGGGTTTCCCAGGACTTCAATTTCAAAAAGTCAAATTCAAGCAACTTGTACGAACCCTGGCTGAATGCGATAAATCACCTCAATCGCAGCAGTACATGATCACATCATTGAGAGCGGTGTCGTCTCCGAATCCCTGCGGCTCTTCTATCCGCGTCCTGATGCCACAGATTCCTCTTCCTTGACATGTCGGGCTCCATTCGCCCCATTCACCCCAGGCTGCGCCCTCACCCACCATCTCATACACTCCACTGCAGTTAAATCTGGAATAAATATGACACTATTATGTTAAAGAGCCCCTATTAATGATGACATTTCATGTAGCAATTCTGCAAAGATTCATGCAAGACAAATGGAGTTAGCAAACAAGTCAAAATCGTATCTGTTCTGATGTGATGACGACAATGATACAGTTGCTGAATGTTCATTCCACACAGTGTAGAAATCAATGTCCATGAAATCCAATGTCCAAGAATACCATCCAAAAATGTCCCCAGTGCAACACGTGATCCATGGTGAAGATCTCAATCCAAACACTGAGCAAGTCTTTAAAGTCACATTTGTGGCATAACCCGGTTCAAGAATCCACAACAGTTGCCAACATAATTCACAGCCTCAAAACCCACTTTAAAGTCATCCTTATGATGCAGGTCAAAAACAGGAATAAATCCCACAGACTGTGGAGTCCTTCTAAATAAAACGAAATAAATCACATTAGAAAAATAACCACCCATAAATTACCCAAAAGCATTAAATCAATACAAAACAAGAAACAATGCTTACTTCAGATTGAGCATAAAACTCAAGGTTTCTCAATCAGGACAAGTGATTGTTTGGAGCCATAAGCCATGCTTACTTCCCTCCATTACGAATCTGACTTCTTCTACCCCCTACACCCATTTTATATCTAAGAGTATAGCTCCATGTTGCCCCCTCATGGTGGGTAGTACAAGTACAATATAAAAAACCATGCTAACAGGTTTGTGACTGTTACATATGCACCCCTCCATTTACGACTTGACATATCCATGGCAAGGCTTTAGATTTTGCACATGATAAGTATCTATCGTTTCCGGGTCAGTAAGCAAAGAAACAGAGTAATTGACGGGGCCTAAACATTTAATTATTTTAGCTGGTCCTTTCCATCTACCAGACAACTTAGCCATGACACCGTCCTCTGCTCTGGACAAAGGATGAGCGCGCACCCAAACTACATCTCCAACTTGATGCTGGTTCTGTTTGCGGCGCAGGTTGTAATGTCGCTGCTGTTTGTTTTGTGCTCTTTCCACATTCTCCTTCACCAGACGGAGGAGGTGATGATGTCTGTCAAGTGCTGGATAGATGGGACTATTTGGATCGGGTGTCTTGTGGAATTGAATTGCTCTTTCTACTGGACCTTTTAAGTTTCGACCCAAGGCAATCTGTGCTGGGGAATGGCCGGTACTCTCCTGCCAAGCAGTATTTATTGCAAATCGAAATTCAGGCAACCACTGGTCCCACCGTCGATGCTGTTCTTCCACATAAGACGCCATCATTGTTTTCAAAGTCCGGTTGATGCATTCGGTGAGATTAGTTTGCGGATGGTAGGCGGTAGTGAGCTTTTGGACAACTCCCCATTGCTTGCATACTTGGCTAAGTAAATTGGAAGTAAACGGAGCCCCTCTGTCAGAAACAAGGTAGGCAGGAGTGCCCCATCTTGTAAAAATATCCTCTATCATGATCTGAGCAATTCGTGGTGCCTTGGCCTGCCTCAATGGGAACAACTCCACCCATTTAGAGCAGTAGTCAACCACAACTAAGAGGTGCTCATTCTGCCTAATGCTCTTTGGAAACGGCCCCATGAGGTCTACTCCAATCATATAACCTGGTTCAACGATGGGGGTGGATTGGAGGTGACCGGATAATTTGCTCACGGATGGTTTGTATTGTTGGCAAGTGATACATTCTTTGCAATGCTTCCATACATCAGATCTTACACTTGGCCAGTATACCATGTCTAGTAGCCTAAGTAGTGTTTTGAGTCTTCCCAAATGACCACTCATAGGATTCAAAAATTCTTTGCGTAGATCTGAGGGAATGATGAGTTGCAATTTCTGACCTGTTTGTCTGTCTGGCACGCTCCGGAACAAAATACCGTTTTCAACCATGTAATGTACACGAGAAATGTCTTGGGACGTCTGTGATGTTACCTTTAAAATAAGCTCCTGGATCTCTAGGTCCTTTTGTTGTGCAGCAGAGATACTAGATATGTCCACTGGTAGGTTGGTTGGTAGGATACTGGATTTTGTAGCTTTTACTACTGCAATGATTTCTGAGGTTAGTTGTTCTGGTGCCCTGGATAACACATCAGGCACTACGTTGCAAAGGTCTTTACGATATTTGACTGTAAAGTCATATCCTTTTAGCCCTTTGTCCAGCGGGTAAGTCGCGATGAAAGCTTAGGATGTTGAAATACCCAAGTGAGTGCAGTGTGATCAGTAATGACCTCAAATGTCCTCCCTTCTAGATATGGTCTCCATTTTTCAACTGCCCAAATGACTGCTAAACACTCCTTTTCAGATACCGAATACGACTTCTCTGCTCCTCGGAGCAGTCTGGATGCATATGAAATGACTCTTTCTCCATCCTCCCTTTCTTGGGTAAGTACTGCACCCAGTCCTAGCTCGCTTGCATCCGTTTGCACCCGAAATGGTCTATTAAAGTCTGGCGGTAAGAGAACTGGTGCCTGAATCAAGTCCTGTTTTATGATGTTGAAAGCTCTTTGACATTCTTCTTCCCAAATCCAGGTGGACTTTTTTTGCTTGAGTGCATGTAAAGGTGCTGCATTCGTTGAGAAATGTGACAAATAACCTGTGGCAAATTCAATTGAATGGGTATGATTTGGAAAGGCACACGCATCTTAATTAAAGTTCTACCAGCTGATAATGCATATCAGAGTAAAAACCAAGCTCTAAGATCAAAAGAACTGCCAGTAGAGCTCAGAAACATGATTGTGTCAAGGCACACATCTGGGGAAGATTTCAGAAAAATCTGCTTCACTGAAGGGTCACAGAAGCATGTAGTCTTTGTTACCCTTAATGGAAGAAGTCTGAAACAACCAGGACTCTTCCTAGAGCTGGCCTCCTGGCCAAACTGAGCAACTGATGGAGAAGGGCTTTGGTTAGACTGGTGAACACGAAGCTGATGGTCACTCTATTTGAGCTCCATGATCATATGTGGAGATAAGAGAAACCTACAGAAGGACAAACATCACTGCAACACTCCACTGATCTGAGCTTTATGTCGGAGTGGCCAAACTCAATCCTCTCTTCAGTGAAGACACATGAAAACACACTTGGAATTTACAAAAAAGCACCTAAAGGACTCTCTCTGAGAAACAAGAGTCAACAGAGTATACAAAGGCACTGTATATAAATATAAATACATAAACATACATGTATGTATTTAAGGAACACACACATACATAAATATAAATATTTCTTAAATATATGCACGTATGTGTGAATTTATATATACATATAAATATACACAGGAAAAGCACAAATATTCTGTAAAAACAAAAATAAATAAATAAAAACTTTTATTTTGGACAGGAGTATTTTTATTTTTATTTTTTTGGAAAACAAGACAAAAATACTGAGTTATAAAATCAAAACCACATCCATGAGTCGATGCTCAGCTTACCTTCACATTAAACCCCTTGGCGTATGTTCCATTTGGACAAAACTCACTTCGACCCCACGATCCCCAGCGCATCCCATTCGAAACAGTCAGCAATGATGTAAAATGTCTTTCGCTGCTCCGCTCCAAACGTCTTCCTGTGGACCGAACACTCACATGCAGCCCAGTAAAGATCAGCAGTGAAAACCCAGTGAAAATTAAGTGATGCATTGCTGCAGCACAGACCTGATGGATAAAAATAATGATTAAATTATTTCTATTTGCTCTCTAAATCAAAAACTGACCCATCTGTAGTCAGTCAAAAGAACCTGCCTGTTTCTTTATTGAGCCAATCAGAACAATACATTTACATGGTTCATCAATATTCCAGCCAATCAGCAGCCATGAACACTGAACGTACTCAATGCCTGTAAATCAGCACAGATAAACACAAACGCCTGTTTGGTTAACCATTAGCGTCCTTGGAAAGTCTTTTACTTGGTAAAAAGCCAATGTTCAAAGTTCAGAAATACTAAGCATGCAAAACAGCAGAAAATATTACATATGACATTTAATAATTGAACTTTTTAGATTTGCATTTCCTGCAAAGAAGTCACCAATCAGCTAAAAATGATCATTCTGTCATCATTCCATCAACTGCTTTTTGGTTTTCAAGGACTACAATCAGTATGGAATCTTGTTTCCGCACACTAAAAAAATAAATAAGTAAATAAATAAAATAAAACAAAACAGGTAATTGTGACTTTTTCTCTCACAACTGTGGTATTTAAACGCACAATTGCGAGATATAAAGTCGCAATTCTGACAATTTTGTCAGAATTGTGAGAAACTCATAATATATATATATATATGTATGTATATAAATAATTGTATTTATTACACAAAAAGTTAAAGTGAGGAAAAAGTCGTATGTGACTCAAAACATTTTATAATGACTTTTTACCTCATAATTTTGAATTCATATATCACGG